AATATATGACCATACCGATGGGATCTGTTTGCTCAAAAAACAACATTTTAAATATAAACATCAGTTTTCAGAGAACGACTATCCCTCACAGCATCATGGAGTGGATAGACACTCTTCTCAGTTTCCTGAAAACTAAATATGGTCTGTTATAAAGGGAAATAGGGCTATAGTCGACTACTAGTCATTGAATATGACAGCAAAAGTTTGAAGAAGACTTAGGAAAGACAACTGTAAACTTTCTAGTTCAGATTAATTTTATTCACAATACAGACGGGCCTGTAATGTGGTGATGGACTAGAACCCGGAACATAATGTTTCGTTTCAAAATTTCAGTCATTTTCCGACCATATTTTGTATGGATTGGTTTATTTCATATCATCAATTACTCTTTCTGCGATACATTGGAAAATCCTAAATTTTTCGTTTAATCTTCTCTCATCTTTTTTCAGAGAATGACATAATGAGTGCACCAAACACACTGGTGTATCAAGCAGAAACAAAGTTATTCCAAATCCAGCTGCCTGCTTGCAGCGGTGCCAATTTTCGAACTTATAAGTTTCTTGAATACGCCAAAGGAGTTGTTTTTCTGTCGTCAGTAGTGCTTCGGGTAGCCATCCACAATGGAACTAGTCTTGCATCAAAAACATCTCCAAATAAACTAAGGTTCTGGGGTCATTTACACTTAAAACTCATTCACTGACACCGTAGCACTGGTGGAGTTAGCTACACGAAATCCTTGAATGAGAAAGAAAGACCACTTCATTGGCTAATATTTTCATTCCTTGCCGGTGGAGGCAAATATTGTTAGCGTTTTTTATCACCGAGAATTCGTCAAGGTAATTTGTACATCTTCGGACCGGAGTCACAATAAAATTATACAATGTATAAGGTTAAGCCTGAAGTTGAGAAACAATTTATGGACAAACAACCATATAATATAGCTTTTGTTACGTTTATTTTTAAGGAGTTACCATAAAAACAGTCCACTTTATGACTAGCATATGTCAGGTACTGGAAAAAAGTCTCACCAACACCAACCACTTTAGTTATGCAGTTCCCTTTGGATATACCAAACCAGAACGTTCAAAACCGCGTAGGTAAAGCTCGTGGCCAAGGCATAAACGACATCGACACACCACAAAATTTAGCAATGTCTGATTGAAAATTAATGAACCTACCCATGAGTGTTGTATAGCTTCAAGAAGTTAGCCCGCAATCCTTTATCTTCTTTCGGGCGAAAAGCAAACTCTTGGTCCATGAGAAACACTTTACACAATCGCCAATTTCGTCTCGTTCGTCCGGGAAGGGATAGACCGTGATTTTCCGGATCCAATTCGAATGTGTTCTCATTTGTTTCCTGATCCCTAATTTTGTGCACTTTTCGTGTCATGTAGATTAGATAAGTGTCTTTCAGTACAAGCCATCTGGGGAAAATGTATGTATGTATGTATGTATGTATGTATGTATGTATGTATAAGCAAGTCGATTCAATCAGATTAAACATTAGCATTTGTCTCAGTTAGGGCAAAGCAGGAATGAAAGCTTTCTCAAAACTGCAGACTACAAAGGGTTCGTGTTCTTCACAGATTATGACGATTCAATCTTAAAGCAATAAAATCCACCTCTTGATGAACTCAAACAAAGTACTAAGAGAGAATGTATACGCAGTCGACAATTTTGAGGTAATTAACCTAGGTTGATAATTGGCAAGAACTTGTTTTCTTTTCTAACGGTCACTATGAACATTTACGTTTGAACAACTTATGGGATATTATTTTGCTTAGTTTAATTGAGGAAAACTCTAAAACAAGATAATAAACTGCTCAATACTTGTATACTATTGTTTATTTTAGCCATAATCGAGATTGCGGTAGTAACTAGATTTTAAAACCATTTTATACCATTACTGAAGTTTTGAAAATGGAAACTGTCTGAAATAAAGCTCATGACATTGTTGCTCTAATATTCTATTCATTACCAGAAGGTCTTCGACTGATCACGGTCTCTCTTCATGAATAATTTTTGTTAATTTGCTATGAATCGAACAATGGGAATTTCAAAGGTCATTGTAGTTGATGTATACACTTAATTGAGTTCTGGGAGAATTTTTTAAAGATGTCTACAGAATGATCATTTTCATCTGCTCAAGATCAGAGTGAGATGTTTACAGTGACTCGACTGGAACCTGCACTGGATCTTTAGTACGGCTTCTGTGTGTGTGTGCGTGCTACATGATCGCTTAATAGTTGATTACATTCGCGCTGACTTGTCCAAACTTGTAACCACTTATTGCGGAGTTGTTACTTATTGCTGCGAGTTCTGATAACTGACATTGGTTGAATCATTTGGTAATGTCTTCATCGCCTCTGGAAATCCACAGATCGTGCACTACCACATCTAACATTTTGCTTTTCTTTTCGTTTCAACTTTGTTGTGAACGCCAACACTCGTTTGCACAAGTCGGACGATGTCGCCTGTTGCCAGCTCTGGGGACTTAATGGCGCGCACACACATGCACACATACACACACACATAATCTCCTACATATACACTAAAACTAAGTGTGGTGACACAAACACGTAGACGAATAAACCAGGATTCCTGCTTTCAATTGAGACATAAGTTGGTAGAAGCCTGTTAGTCCCAAAAACAACCAAAAAGAAACAGCAAAATAGGTAGTAGCACCTAGGGAACAAGTGTTGCAGTAACGTCTCGTAAATGGAATAGGTTTTTATGTTGTAAACTAAGTCATCAGCACCGTTGTGAATATTATACTATCGCAGCGAAACAATAGTTAGGAGCAGAGGCCAGTAGACCTCTTTTTACGTACGAGAAGCAAGTAAAATTTTATCGCATCTCTAATTGGCGGACTTTCTGCCGTTTAAGTATATACATAAATGTCTTGTAGAATACATTAGTCATTATGGCATGAAAGGAGACGGAAAGTAACATTAGATACTCTTGCTTACATTTTCCATAAAACAGGTCAGTGTCTATCTAAATCAAGATACTTGCAATATTGGGTCCCCTTTATCCAATTCGTTAGAACCGAGAGAAGACAAATACTGCGAGATGTCAACATTTCTTTTAATCTCTTCAGTCGCTACAACGTGAAACAATCTGGTATTTATACAAGCAAGTTTTGATAACTACAGTGGTAAAATGGACAATAGTCAGGGAAGCGGGGGAGAGGGTGGGGTGGGAAATCAGGTCCACGGCAGTCTGACTGATTGTATAAGGAACTTTTGTGCACACAGGACTGGGTTACGTAACTTGATTAGCATCGCTTCGCTAAACGCCAAAATCCTGGGGTTCAAGTTACGTAATAATAGCTTGAACGACATTTGTGGGTGAACGATGTGTCCACTGTAGTTATCAAAACATGCTTGTATAAATACCAGATTGTTTTACGTTGTAGCGACTGAAGAGATTAAAAGAAATGTTGACATCTCGCAGTATTTGTCTTCTATCGGTTCTAATAAATCAAGATACCTAAACGAGTGGTTGGAGCCATCAGGTTCAAGGCCTTTCAGGAGGTATCAAATGATTGCTTGTCCTAACTTTTTTGTCGAAGCAGTTTAACCACACAATAATCAACTGTTTGGGTGATTCTTGTCTAAAATGAGATGCCATAAAATCACAATATTTAATTGCTGTTAGTGTTGAAAGCAAAAGGTGCAAACAAACAACAAACTGGACGCACAATTCGCCCGAGGTAAGCATCGGCCTGTGCGAATAATGCGTCCATCAAAAACCACGACTGTTGACCCACATGGACCTCAAATCTTTGATTAGTTCATCTTCGGCAACAATAATCCTCATGAATCAAAACAAATTATTCAAACAATTCTTTACCAATCTTTCCGTGGTGGGCAATAAATGAATTGAAGTCGAACAATCAAACCGGAAAAATGAGTTTCCAAAGTCGTGAAAGTCTCATCAACTCTGTGTAGATGCATTTCTTTTGAGTCTCGCAGAGAAAGTGCAGTTAGAAGAATGAAAAAATATATTGTTCTCCTTACAAAAGCGAATTATTTAACTTTAATGCTTAGCAAAATACATATACATCTATATTTCTATTATTTCAGTTGTATGCAAAGCCCAGCAATGAAGCTTTTCAATACTTCCATTTGAACTTTAGGAATAGAAAGTCGTAATTTCTATGAATAAACTAATAGGGAAAGTAGTAGAGGTTTTGATTCGATTTTATAGTGGATTTGATTATGTAAAGAACAAACAAATTGCGAACTGAAAAGCAGAGAAAGATTGGACAGTTTTTACTAATTGTTTGAGTAACACCAGGTAATAGGCAGAACAAAAAAACTGTCTGATCAGTTGCGTTGTACCTGTGACGTCCTGGATACGGTCCTTAGTTGGGTCGATGAATTTGCGCTGCTGATGAGACCTAACCAGGTTGAAACAGCTGTCTAATGTTTCCTAGCTTTTCAACCCACTCTTTGCTTACTCTGAATGCGACTATATTCACCATGAAATTGATAGCAGCCAGGAATTTCTCGCAAGTCTTTTAAATCTCTTTGGTTTATCATTCGCTATCGGATCACTACATTACCGACACGCCTGAATGCTGATACGAAACAGTGAATCAGTTTAATCGCTTGATTAGAAATACAAGATATGAGCAACACCTTGATATTGTGATTAAAATTGCGTCTGAACTTAGAAAGCAATCTAACAACCGATCTAGACACGTGATTTCCTATAAAACTATCCCCAGCAATAGTTTTATAGCAATGGTTTAGTTTGATGCAAATAAACACACCTTGGTGTATCTGCTCCGGATTAATGCAAACCACTCGGTCTCTCCACATTGAATAATTACGGTTGACACCAAAACCAAATAGAATTGATGGTTATTCGAAGCGAATTGCTATCTGTGCCAGTTGTTATTTGCATGGTATAACTCAGGGACCATTGTACAGATACTATGTGTATGACACCGTAGTTATTTATGCCACACAACTTTGGGAGTTCGGTGAAGAATGATTCTACAGTACCCATGCTTTCAGATATTCATCATCATCATCATCATCATCATCATCATCATCATCATCATCATCATCATCATCATCATCATCATCATCATCA